TATATACCAGAGTTTCTCAAACTCAGCAACTGAGGAATTCTGGGAGTCCATGCATCTTAAAGTTGTTGACAGTAAGGAACACTAATTTAATTTTTTGAAGGGGTAATTCAAGCAATATGACACAAAATTAGTTTGTATAGGATAATGTTTGCTTCAAAAAGCTAACAAGGATTGAACTGTAGAGTTAAGTAGCCTACTAAGAGAGCCACTCCTTCAAAAAGTAAATTGACAGTAAAAAGAGTGCAATAACATCACTGGTGGGATATTCAGATAGCATCATATTTAATCATAAGTGTAGCACTATTATTTTACTTCAGGAGTTTGTCAAGGTTCATGTCAAAGATCCATCCCAGAGAGTGTCACATTCAATTAAAATTAATGCAACTGTATTTTTGCTAAAGATGGCTATAATCACCATAATGGCTTCAGCTCTGTATGGCACAATAACAGAACTGTAAACTGTTATAAATTATAGTGTAAAATGCAGCTCTTTTCCATTAACTGATCAATAAATTGCTAAGGCATCTTTGAAACATATTTTGAGTGACAGCCTTCTCCAATATTTGTTGGGAAGCTTGGATTCCAAGATACAAACCATTTTATGTCAAGGGTAAGTGAACAGACATGAAATTGCTGTTTATAGAAGATGGAAATGTATAATGCCTCATTTTAATAGCTTTCTGAAGTTCTTCGGGTTGCATTTATCTTCATATAAACACAAAAAAATTCTGACAAGACAGAATTGTTACTGATTCCAAGGGCTAAGGACTGGATTAAATGCAACAGCATTTAGATTTATATTCAACCCCACAGCACTTTACAGCACTCTCTGGATGGTTTACAATATAAGCATTATTTGTATATTGCCCCAGAAACAATCCTCATTTTCCTGACCTTGGAAGGCTGAATCAACTTTGAGTCCCATCAGATCAAACTCCAAGCTGAGGGGAAAATTTGCCTGCAATACTGCATTTTAACCACTGCTCCTTTAAGGAGCAACTCCACATTGTGAACAATCTGTTTGATTCTGCATTGATGTTAGACAGTCATATATCAGAGACACACTGTAGTGGAACGTAGTCTTGATTCCTAGTAGGGACAGGCTGCTTTCCAGAGAACAAAGAGACAGCAAAGCTTAGATTGTTTGGTCAGGAGAAAGAAAGTTTCTCCCTGACAATCCTCAGAATATAACGATAGTGTTAGGTGCAGATTAGTTAAGATGGTGACACAACCATGTGAATGAAGTTCCATCTCTTTTTATTGTGTACAGTACCTTTACTTCTTATAGCCCCACTGGTGGGATCCTGCCGGTTTAACAGCTGGTTCGGTGATTGCGTGTTTTGATTTCAGATCAAACTCCAAGTACATGTGCAGTTTTAACAAAACTTACCTTCCATGTTACTTCTGGGGAGTAACACAGCTGAGGCCAGGCAAGCTGCTTTGTCGCGTGAATCAGCTAAGAGGATATAGGTAAGTATAGTACGGGGGGCGGGGGGGGCACCTGATCGGCGGAGCAAACTGGTTTGCTCCCAGCTGATTGTCAATAGCTACAGGTTCACCTGAACCAGTCTGAACCGACTTAATCCCACCCCTATATAGCCCTCTGAAGACATGGTTGAATATATGACATATACTACCAGGAATAACTACTGTTTGAGGTAGCAGGATTAACTCATTAAAGGAGAATGCTTTTATCAAGGTTTCACATACAATTTCCAAGCTCAGAGACAAGATCATCAGAGATAAAGAAAAAAGGACATCTGTACCCTATTTGTATCTTCACTGAAAACCAATGTGTGACATGATTAATGAAGCTGCAGCATGCTGACTGGGGAATTCTGGGAGTTGAAGCCCACACATATTTCGGTCACCAAAGTTGAGAAACACCAAATTAAGGATTCAGATTATGACTGAGGTCATCTAGGCCAGGGATGTTCAAACCTGGGAACTTTAAGACTTGTAGACTTCCCCAAGCCAGCTGGGGAATTCTGGGAGTTGAAGTCCATAAATCTTAACGTTCCCAAGTTTGGACACCCCTGATCTAGGCTCAAGTCCATTCATCCTTAGCCATGGAAGCTTGGTTGATATAGGAAAGACAGGGAAAAGGAAGTGCTATGCACATCAGCTTGTGCTTTGGTAGGAAAAGAACAATATTTGCTTAATAAATCTTCTACTCATCCCTTGATCTTGACCCAAAAGCCAGAAAGCAATAAAATAAATTCCATAAGCAGTTTTTGGAAACAAAATGCTGTACTTGATATGCATTTGATTTGGTCCAACGAGATTCTTCTTCAATCAATCTTTTAAAAAATATAGGCTAGCCCAGGTGGAGGAGATCAACCTTAATCCAGAATTTTGTTTTTCACAGGTGCTAGAGAAGGGAATATTGAGACATAGTCTCCCTTTCATGGATCTTCTGAAACTAGAATTTAGAAGAACACTGCATGCCAGTGCATTGATAATATTGTGTCTCAAAACAAACAGCTGACGGTAATCATTTTTCTCCTCCTTTCCTACTGACCATTACAATAGAATTTGCCTTTTTTACATATAGGTCAACAGCTTCACAGCTATGGCCGCCAAAATCATTTTCCTAGTGAGCTATCAGCAGTTTAAGCCTTCATTGGCTTATACCCTCAGGTTTTTTGTGGACCACACTTAAAATTAAATAGCTTCCTCATGTTGTACAAATGCCAATTAACCATCCTGATTAAATGAGTTGTGCAAACAAGACTGCAGGCATATATTTACGTTTTAAGCTAAAATCTTTTTTTTTCTTTCAAAATTCTGCAGCCTTTCCTACTCTAGAGAACCTAATTCTTCCTATGCCTGCAAAAAAAAGTTATTTGGATGCCATCTAGTGGCTTGAGATGCAAATATAAAATATTTAGCACCTATCCAACAAGTGCCTTTTCTTCCAGCCCCATCACATTTGAACATTTTCTGAACTTAGCTTAGAATACAAAGTGCAAAGTTGGCTGGGATTTCAGCCATACCACTAGCAAACTTTCTCATTCACCTGGTGCTATTCTTATTTTCTCACATGAGATCTTGCAAGATGAAGCCAATTTGAATTTTATTTGGGGGGTCTACAAATGTTCTGTGCTAACAATCCCTGCTCTACGAAATGGTTTCCATGTGATTAGATTCCCTGAGTCTCTTTTTTTTTTTTTTTTACAAGGACAGAATTTTCTGACTAAAGGTTTACTTGGTTTTCAACTTATTCACTGCCTGAACTACTTTGTTTTTATCCTGTATTGTACAGGAACTCAAGGTGATATGTGTATTACTTTCGCTTATTTTTCCTTCATAACAGCAATCATACAATGTACAGTATATTGGGTTCAGAGCAAGCAAGCGACTCATAATCACTCAGTGAGCTTCCAGGGCTCAGATGGGCCGGACCTTAGGCATCCTTGATCTTGTCCAATATCTCAACCATTGTACCACATGGTTCTTAAAATTCTCAGGAATGTTTACCTTGTAAAAACACTTAATCAGGTGTCCAGGTTTGGCAACTTCAAGGTTTGGCAACTTCAAGGCTTGTTGACTTCAACTCCCAGAATTCCTCAGCCAGCATGTGGGTTGACGTCCACAAGCCTTCAAGTTGCCAAAGTTGGACACCCCTGGCCTAAATGATATGATCATGTTAATGTAACACAATGTTTCTCAACTTCTGCAACTTCAAGGACTTCAACTCCCAGAATTCCCCAGACAAGCTGAAGTCCACAAATTCTACATCAATCTAGCCATTCTGTGCACCTGATGAAGCAAGCTGCAGTTCACCAAAACGTATGTCTTTTAACAAAATGTATTAAGAGAAGTTGCAATCGGACTCCTGGTTTTCTTTTCTTTTTTTACTTACTAGACCAGTGTTGGCTAACCTTTTTGTTGCCGCGTGCCAAAAGCGTGCAACACTACCCCGTGCCCCACCCACCTGTGCATGTGACCCCCCCATGATCCCCCTGCCCCCCACATCTGTGCATACTCCCCCCATGCTCCACTCCACCACCTGCGCATACACGTGACCCCCAGTGCCCTGTTTTGGGCCTAGTAGGCCTCCCTGCAGCCTCCTTGGACCAAAAACAGGCTGCAGGGGGCACCCCACACCCCCAAACATGTGCATGCATCTCCCGCATGCGCCCTGCCCCCTCCCCCCGCTTTGCTTCAACAGATAGTTGGGCCATACTGACCTGAATGGATCTCAGAAGTTAAGTAGAATCAGCTCTGGTTAACACATGAATGGGGTGCATGTTGGAATTCCAAAATTATTGGCTTGACTGAAAACATCTTGGAAAAAGACAATGAAAAATGTCTTCCAAAACATTACCAGGAAAATTAGATGCTTTAACCTTTGCTGTAAACCATTCTCTACTTGGAAGACCACAGGGGGAAAATAGAAAAGTTGGGTCTGTAGCATTTATGCTTCCTCAAATACAAGAGTCTGATACTTTTCAATATAATTCAAGAGGGCTGTAGCAAGCACAGAAAAGAGCAGGAAACCCACTTTGCACCATATTTATCTCAAAAAATGCAGCAACAAGGGAGCCCCATGGGCATCAATCGGTGGTCTTCTGAAGAAGGGCAGCGTAAAATAATGAAATCAAACAATGAGTGAAAACTCAGAATAATGTTTTATTGTGTGGCTATTAAGCAAAACTAAGTTATACATTTCATTTCCTTTGTGAACAGATGATGAAAAGCCTCAAATAATTTTGCTATTTATCCATGGGCAGAATGACTATATTTGATAAACTGTAACTTTAAATTGAGCCAGTAATATAAATCTAGAGAAAAGTTGCCAAAGTAGAAAACAAAACAAAAGCAGCATATTATGAGTCTTGGGGGGCGCAGTGGTTAGAATGCAGCACTGCAGGCTACTTCTACTGACTGCCTGCAATTTGGCAGCTCCAATCTCACCATGCTCAAGGTTGACTCAGCCTTCCATCTTTCCAAGGTGGGTAAAATAAGGACCCAAATTGTTGGGGGCAAATATGCTGACACTGTAAACCGCTTAGATTGCTGTAAAGCACTGTGAAGCGGTGTATAAATTTAAGTGCTAGTGCTATACTGTTCCCATATGATCCTAGAAGTCAAGAATTCTGTCTTCCATTAGAGATATGATGTGGTAGTAGAAAGCTCCAGCTACCTACTTTTCCCACAAGGATATATAGGGTAGATGTTAAATAAATAAGGTAAATAAGTATCAAAGGGACATAATGGCTCAGAGGTTAAAGACACTGAGTTTATCAGCTAGAAAGCTGACAGTCCGTGTTCAAGACCCAGGTGCTGTGGGATGGGGTGAGGTCCTGTTCTTGCTCCAGCTTCTGCCCACCTAACAATTCAAAAGCATGCAAATGTGAGTACATAAATGGGTACCAGTTCGGTGGGGAGGAAAAAGTTCTTTGTATTCCTTGGCATATAGTGATACTGGTCACACGACCATGGAAATGGTATTCAGATGTTGGGTTCCTTGAATAAGAAACGGAGATGAGCATGTCTAGAGTCAGACATGACTGGAGGAGGGAAACCTTTACCTTTAAGAAGTACCAAGACCTGCTCTGAACAGTTGTCTAGAATTTTTCAAATAGCTTGTGTTCCAATGCACAGAGGACAATGAGAGAACTTAGTCCTTGTGGTTTTCCTCCAAGCCACTTTGAAATAGGACCTGACTCCTTGTTTTCTTTTCCCAGAGGTGGGACAATAATTCTTTTAAGAGTCACCACATTATTTTTTAAATGCCATTAAAAAAAAGCAGGTATGTTTCTTATCACTCTTTTCAAGGGAAGTAGAACATACTACTTCTACTTCACCGAGAGCACTCAAATTATCTTATTGGAATTGCTGGTGAAATGAATTTGGAATGGTGACCAGTGTTCCCATTTTATTCTGCTTATATCAGGAGTGGGAGAACTTAGGACCCTCCAAAGGTTGCTGAGCTACAACTGTCAGCAACTTCCACCAGTGTGGTCAAAGTAGGAGATGCTGGGAGGTATAGTTCAGCAACTAGATTTCAGCAAGGTGACGAATATCTCCCTTCTGTTTATATATACATATGCATTCATTGTCAGCTTTGGAAGCCATATTAACACCGGATGCTTCCACACTTCCTTACTGGAGTTAAGATTTTCAGGAACGTTGACATTCATACCATTTGGAAAACCACTTGTTAACAGTCTCTTTAGATTGTCAAAGAAATTGATCTAGGAAATAGTTTATCTCCTGCAAAAAAAATAAAAATAAAGTATCTTGTTTGGTTTCTGCACACTATGCCAACAGAACAGGTACAATTCAAATATGTGTGTGCATACGCACATGTATACGCACAACAGGAATAAGGGCTCGATGCATCTTTTCGCATCATAAAATTAGTCATGCTTTTTCTTCATTTATTAGCATCAGCAACTGTCAATGCAACTGAACCTAAATATAACAGTCTTCAAGAATTGCGTTGCGATTAAATTGAAGTGAACAATATACATTGTCTCTGCATGTTAACTGGATAAAGATCAGTGTCTATTACAGGATTCACACATCCAAAATGCAAGATTTCCCATCCTCATGGTTTAGCAGCCTGGGAAGTAAGGATGCTTCACTAACTTTGATCTCTCTTCCCAGCCTCTCTGATCTTAGCTGCCATCTGATTTTAGGTTTTGTGTTTTTCTTTCTTGTTTTCCGTCTTTCCATTTTCTTTTTGCTAACCTCATTGACCGTGTATAAGTTTTTAGAACATAAGAAACTACTCAAAATAAGACACATGTTTATTCTGAGTATAATCTGGCTTTCTTTGATAGAAAGACAGCCTAGTAGTCTCTACTTTTCTATTCACCTGTCAGCTCTAAGAATAATCTTCAGTGAACAAGAATTAATACTGATGTTCCAAGTAAGGATCTCAGCCCTCCTTGTTTTGGTGATATGTTTCTAGACTTTGTCATGAACACAGATTCCATCATTGATATTTCTCCAGCTTGTCCACCATAACATAGTGCCATCTGGTGCTTTCTGATTTCTCCAGAGCAACTCCAGCAGCTGAAATTTCATATTTCACAAGGCTGTTAATTTTGTAGTTGTGTCTTCTGCCTGGCTGTCGTCTTTGTTGCTCTGCGATGTCAGAGTGTCAGTGGATTCCAGGTGGTTCTCCTCAATTTTTAAAGCAAGGTTGTCAAATCCAGTACTATCTGCCATTGGCAAGGTGGTTGAGGGAACTTCTGCAGTACGGGTTGGGGTGGAGCAATACATGATGAAGCCAATCATGATGACCACAAAGGCTAAGAGATACAGCACGGAAAACTGTCAGAGAGAGAGAGAAAGGGGGGGGGGGTACAGAGATGAATAGTCTTTTCCATACAAACATGGGTAACCATAACATTCATCTACCCTGATAGAATAGAATAATAACTTTATTGGCACTCTGAATGTGCACTAATCAGTATACATTAAAGTGAAATTTCATTGCATGCAGTTCTCAAAGGATCACCATCTGCAATATATGCTACATAAATGTAACAAAATAAATAAATACATTAATTATGCCTAAACATGGGCATCCAGAGGAGTGAGGGATATTACATGTGTTAAAACATCACTGCATAAACGATGTAAATGATATCATTTGCACCAAGTATAAGGTAAAGGTTCTCCTTGTGCTAGTCATTACCGACTCTAGGGGGCAGTGCTCATCACCATTTCAAAGCTGAAGGGCCAGCCCTGTCCAAAATCATCTCCGTGGCCATGTGGCTGGCATGACTAAATGCCGAAGGCGCACGGAACACTGTTACCTTCCCACCAAAGGTGATTTCTATTTTACTTGCATTTTTACATGCTTTTGAACTGCTAGGTTTGCAGAAGCTGGGACAAGTAATGGTAGCTCAATCCGTTACGCGGCACTAGGGATTCGAACCGCCGAATTGCCAACCTTTCTGATTGACAAGCTCAGCGTCTTAGCCACTGAGCCACTGCATCCCTGTGCATCAATTATATGATGATACAAACAACCCCTCAATTTGTGTCATGTAGTATATGATAATATGATACAGTTGACATCAACATGGTTTATACTAGATGGCTAGGCATTTTGTGGGTTCTTTTTAACAGCAAAGGCTTTACTGAAACAACAGAGGATTCACTGTATCAAATTCTTTCAATTACAATGAATTACATAAATTACTGGGTTAACTCAAGACCTGTGCTATTTGATGGACAGATTGAGAAAATGGGAGAGGGAGGGTTAATTCTAGGCCTTGCGCCAATCTCACATCACTTTTTTGCTCTCTTTAGCCAGCTGTACTTTTCACCTTCCCTCCCATTATTGATTCAAACAATTTGACAAACAAACAACAGAAGAAAATGCAGTAAGTCTTAGGTCTAGCATTAGCTTCAATGTTCCTTCAAAACTGAAGATGATTTAGCTACAGGAGCAGATTTATGCTGGTGTCCATTGGTATCCATCTTGAGCTTTGACCTGGATCCAGGCGGTTGTCACCGCCTCCCTTCGGGAGGGGCTCTTCCCCTCCGCACTTAAAGCGGCGGTGGTGAGACCCCTCCTGAAGAAACCATCTT